ACTACAACATTTAGTAAACAATAGTTTTAAATATTAATATATTTCTTATAAATAAACTAACAAGATTTACTTAAGGGATATTAGAAAGAATTGACATTTCATAAGTCAATTCGTCTCTCACCCGAGTCTCGATAAATGTCAGTCAGCTCTTCATATGCTTGGTTTGTTAAATTTCCTGGTCCAAACAAAGAAATTCGCTTAAGGCGATCAAGTGCTATTATACTGAGCAGATTTCTTTGCTTTGAATGTATTAAGTTTAGCATAGAAAACCCTCTTTCGACATTTGCTGTGCTAGGTGGTATGAGTAGTGACAATTTGAATAACTTCATTATATCATACTACTGCTCACACGCATACTCGGTACGGAAAACAGTATAAATAGCATCACTTGTTATCGGGTGTTCGTGCTTATAAATATCCATGTTATTACTCTTTAATTTGCCTTCTTTTACTAAAACTTGAATTTTTAGGTTCAAAGTTACATTAGATTTCTCTATAATCAGAGAGAAAATGATGGATATCATCTTCATTATCTTGAATAGGATTAAACAATGGTGGTGCAATATTATTTTCTCGATCAATGACAGCAGGTTTTGCATGGTCATAAAATTGTGAAAGTTTACTAATGTTAGATGAAAATTTGTTGGGATCTTGATTTTCACCAGTTGTATTAAAAGCATCAAATGCTAAAAATACATCGTCATTAATTTGCATTGCTGCATCAATTTCTTCTTTTAATCTCCTCATAAATGGCACTTTTATTTTCTTTAAAAACTCATCAATTTTTGCTGGTGTTGATATCGTGTTAAACAAATTATTTTTTCTTAACTGACGTGTTACTCCTTGACGCTCTTTAGATATATTGAGAAATTTATTTGAATGAGTGTTGAACAATGGACTTTTACGATTGGCTATATTGTTAAGCTCATTTTTTAAAAGGTCTAATTTTAAGTTTATCTTTGAGTAGACTAGGTTTTGCGTTTGTAAAAACTTTGCAAATTTATTTATTGGCGCTAAAACATCAGCCAGTAAAAGCAAAAATAGTATATTATCAGGAACAAGTATTTGATATGTTAGACCGTCCAGCTCTGCATCGTACTTCTTATTAAAAATTGCATCAAGGCTGTTTATAACTTGTTCAAATCTTGAAATGAGTCATACTGAAAAAGCGCCATGAGATAACCAACACGTTGGAGCAGCTTTAAGTAACTTCGCTGGTTTTAAACCGTCAGCATTTTGTGCTGCATCAAATATTGAGGCCTTTACGCTAGAATAATTCATGGCTTTCCAAACTCAGAAGATATTAGCATCAATGCTAACTAGGACTTAAAATTTTTCATTAAGTGTACACACACAAGAGCTAAACAATGACAATGACAGTTAATGTACATTGAAGGGGAGAAATTTTTTTTTTAGCTTAGCTTGTAAACCATTACGCACCCCACTCATTGTGTTAGTTCCATCAGAGCCATGGAAGCACAGTTGCTGGATATCTATGGATTTAGATTTTAAAACTAGTTGTATTTGTTCACATAAAGTTTGCGCATCCGTTCTTCCAATAACTTGGACTAAACTAAGAAATACTTCTTCAATAGTATGAGAATCAGAATCAACATATCTAATGAAAACAGAAAAGACAGTCCTATCCGCCACGTCACTCGTCTCATCAGCAAGAACACTAAAGTCATGAGCCAAAATAATTTTTGTGCAAACCTTATTGTCTAATTTATCATTTATTATTTCGACGAACTGATGAACACTAGTTGATGATGTCGCTCGTTTACTAGCAATTTTAGTGTGAATCTATCTCCTTATTGCCAACATCTCAAATAAATTCAACGATATCACTAAAGACTGCCCAGTTCTTTTTAATTACAAAATAAACAGTTTTAAAAAACTTTTTTATGACGTTCCTTTGGTTAAAAGTATTTTTTTGACCTGCTGACGTTTTTCGATGATAATTTTGCTTTCGTTTGTTCTTATTTCAGGAATCAACTGCTGATCTACCACTTTTTGAACTTGTTCTGTATCTTTTGTAGTTTGTTTAACAACAAATGTTTCAAAAATTGACTAATATTTTGTATAGAATTTGCATTGTTATTTTTACTGGGGAAAAATCTGTATGTGGACGAATTTTTGTTGTGGCTTCTACAAGATGTCTTTGGTCGAACCATATTATGTAAGTTAAACTTACTATACAAACTTTTGCAAACAAATTTTAGTAATTAAAGTTTATAAAAACAAAATGTGTTATAGCATTGCAAGGTCGTTAATTCATTCATAACACAGGCATAGGTCACTCATTCATTCAAAACGTAATAACTTTTTTTTTCTTCTTCTCTTATTTATTAAATCAAGTTTTTTGGCGTTATTATTTTATTACGTTTAAAAAAAGTTTTATTTATTTTATAACTTAAACCAGTTTATTTACATTTTTAATGCAATTTTTCTATTATTTAAAATGATAAAGTTTAAAGCTTATAGAGTTTAATCGAATTGTAAATTATAGATGTCAAAATGTAAGCGGAGGAGAAACTCATTTTAAGTATATTTTTTTCAAGTTAATTTTTTTATGAAAGAAATTATAAAAATATAAAATGTGTTTCTTATTTTTATCCAATCAAAACGTGCATTTTACATTTTTATCCAATAGTAACATATTCCATATTTTATCTGCGTGAATTTGAATTAGGCATTCTGATTGACTTAAAATACATTTATAACCTGTTTTAAAAGTCGTTTGCAAATGTTGCTTTTTCTAAGGACATAAAAACAATTTTGTAATTATGACAACAAATTTTAATATTTTTTATGTATTTGTTTACCAACTAAAGAAACCAACAAAAAAAAAAAAAAAAAGGTCCTCAGTATTTACTAACTATAAGTTTGGGCAGAAATTTGGGGGCCCAAACCGGTATTAAAATCGGCCTGGATACGTTGCTGATATATATATATATATATATATATATATATATATATATATATATATATATACTTTTTTTCTTTTGTGAGCACGCTCCCCAAAGTTTTAATAAACAATACAATATAATAAATAATAATAAACAGTAGAATCCTATTAACTCAGGCTCTGATGAGATATATATTTTGAATTTTTCTGTTATAGTTCTAATTTTTAGTTTCATTTAGATTCAAATTTTTTAATAAACTTTATTATAAATAGACCAATTTGAAGATATCAGTAAAAATATTTAATTTGTTAAATTATATTTGACACCAAAGTATTTGATATTCGAACATTTTGAATTTTATTTGATGTTTTTAAACTTTAAATATAATAGTCATTAATAAATAGAATGAGACTAGAATAGAATGAGGGTGTCTGCTAATATTTTAAGGTGGATTTCCCTGACATTTCCCTGATCTTCTACCTGTTTTCACTGATTTATTTTAAAGTTACTTAAACTCAACTTCACAAAAATTGACCTAGATTCATTTAGAAAAATGCTCTTCAACTGCTAAAATATAAACAATAACAAAAACTCACATTAAATGTATCAAGAGAAGTTCATAAAACTATTTGCCAAATGAACTTTTATATTACGTGTACCATATACAACTTACTTAAGTTATGTAAGTTTGATGAAGAGCCATTTTCCCTGATTTTTCCAAAAATTAACCCAATTTCCCTGATAATCCCCTGATTTTTTTGAAGATATCTGAATTCACTGACTATTTCCTGTTTTCCCTGATTTCCCTGATCTGGCAGACACCCTGTGTGATTGAAACTGTACAAAATTGAAGCTATTAATGAAGTTTTAGTTTAATAAATTATTAGAAAATAAAATATTACATAAGATATTTAATTTTAAAGCATTAAAAGTTTGAAATTTTTAAGTGTTGCAAGTTTTGATATTTTATTACATAACTTTTATGCAATTCAAACTAAAAGTCTTAGTTAAGCAAAGCTTTTTATCAAACGCAAAAAAACTGCAAGAGTTAGCAAATGGTTCGACTTAACCAGGGTACAATTAAGGGATAATATGATAAAGTTCAACGGGAATTTAAAAAAAAACATGCTGAATTTAACTTTCAAAAAGAAGAAATAAATCATTGTCTCTCTAGCATTAAGATTTTTAACTTTAATTTATGCGTGACATACTTTATAATGAATATAACTTTTTTGATATTATTTGAGTATTATTTAACAATATACAAACTCTACTGTTTAATTAAACATATTTTGACTTTAGCAAAAAAATTTCACAAAAAAGATTTGCTATAAAATCAACTCATAATTTTTTCCCTCACAAGTTCTTCAGACAAGCGCAATTTTTTACTCTTGTAACAAAACTAGCATGCTATTTCAAGAAGCAAGTGAGACCACACTCTAATCCTGACCACGCATATAATACTTAGTTGCAACAATTTAACCACACCTTTTTAGATGTTTTGAGAACATTTCAAAAATGTGCAAAAAAAGCTTATCTTGACTGATAGGAAATTGAAAAAAAGCTTATCTTGACTGTTTAAAATTAATAATTTCAAAACTTTGCTCTTTTATAAAACTAAGTGACACTTTTATATAATGTATCAACTTACTATTAATAATGGTTTGATCTAGAAACAAAGTTTCTTCAATTAAAGAGTATAATATAATTTTTTTATTTATATACTTTTGTTTCAACAAGGTTCTAATAAAACTAGCGCTAATTGAATAATTTAATAAATAAAAAAGTCAATATTTTTTATAACCATTTCATGCTTTGTGTAGTTTGTGAAGTTTAAAATATTTGAAACAACTCTTTTTAGTAAGATGAACAAAAGAAATAATTAAATCATTGAGTTATTAAATAAATAATAAATTAAAAAAATCTTTTAGCAGTGTCTAATGCGCTGTAGTACAAATATTTTTAAGAAATCGTATAGTAACTTGTAACAACTTTGTTAGATTTATAAAAATGAGTTGAAAAAATCTAAATTAATTTTTTTATTATTATTAAAATGCAAAAATAAAAAACTTAAAAAACTTTATAACTTACCGCTTCCATTGATCCATAATACTGGCTTCGAAAGAGGATATTTCCAGAGTATCTTGAAACAGAACTAAAAAAAAACAAAAACATTTTAGCAGTTATATAAAATTATAATTATAAAAAAATTAAATAACAATAAACAAAAAGAATTTCTTAGATATAGAAAACTGACATTTTTAGATCATTTTCAGGCCTTGGTGGCAGTAAATGAGTGCGAGAGCAGAGAAAACCTCCTAAAATGGTGAGCCATGCGAGCAGCTTCTCTAAACAGCTTTTTACAAGAGCTTTTGATTTTTGCACAAGCTATCGGTTTATTCATTAAAAAAAAACTGTACTTTAAAAAAAACAACAACTGTGCTTTTAAAAAAGTTTATTACACAATTATTGGTTGAATTTTAAAAATGACTTTTGATCTTGGTTACATCAATGTTTTTCTTTTATAAACAGATTTGCGAACCATAATGTCATTATTGTTATATTACACAGTATTTCACACCAACGATTTTAGGGAGAAAAAAATCTATATCTGTGTTTGAAAAAAATAGCAAAAATTTTTTTTTACTAATTCTGTTATTACTTTGCAATGTAATTATAAATATATTCACATTTATAATACTAAAAACAAAACAATTGTTGCAGTATAAAATAACATATATTATAAAGTCAACAATTTGTTAGCCATTTGAATAGTTAAAATATAATCTCAAGCATTACAAAAAAAAAAAACAGTGACTGTTATGCAAAAAAATTAACAACCGTATTTTGTAAGTAAAAAAAATCAATCTGAAACTCAACTTTTTCTTTTTTAATAAAACTCTTTTTTTTTAATACAAAAAAACTATTAATTACAAAAAAATGGACTACAAAAAGACATTAAAATGAATTAATCAGGAATCACTTTAATACCATGACTATGCCAATATTGAATACATTATTCATTTACCAACATGATATTTCAAATTACATTACTTTAACTCATAACAGGCTGCTGCAATGTCTGTACATAATTATTTCAGATTATTATCTATTTTAAATACCAAAACATGGCTGTTGATCTAAAAATTTGTAAATAAAGCCTTTGATAACATTAATGTGACTTCACATAAAATCTTTTTCTGAAGTATTTTATTTGTGTAGTGCTGCAGTGGTAAAAAGCATCTTTTAAAGTTGTAAAAAAAACTTTATTTAGTATCAAAAAAATTTTTTATACCCAACTCTTTCAACAACGGTTGGCAAACCATTCTGCAAGTTAAATGAAGTTTGTTTTATGCTAAGATCCTTTATATCTGCCATACCACTTAATAAAGTAAGCAATTGACTTTACTTTCATGAAATATTATATACTAAAAAAACAACAGAATAGATTTCACAAAACTGAAAAATTAAAAAAAACAAAATATTTTAAAAAGATTATAAAAAAAAGTTTTTTCAAAACAAAAAAGAAATCAAATTTATTAAAACATATTAACAACTTAATTTTTTATCAATTTATTAAACCATAATAATACCTTATTACTTTTTTAATGGTAAATCAGCAATATCTGTAACTTGACTTACAATCAGCATAAAATCAAGAATATCTGTCAAATTAATTACAGATCATAAAAAAATTACTTATATTGAAAAATAGAGATTGAAATCAATATATTTCAATGAATAACTTTTTAATCACAAAACTAAAAAAACATTTACAAGCCACATACATAATAAATCTTCAGCTTAGATTAGAGCAATTAAATCATGTTTGAGGTTTAAAAACTTCTATTTTATTGTTAAAAAAAAAGCATGATACGGTGATGTAATAAAATAATAAAGAGGAAGTACTTTTAATTAAAGTTATTATCTATAAATATCTATTCCATTAATTTCAAAAAATACTTTTAAAGCGTTTATATGACTTTTGCATAAAGCCAATTAAAGTGAACAAACATAAATAAAATACATATTCACATAAGAAAATTACAGATTTATACCAATAAGCTAGATTTATATCACTATTATTATAAAAAAAAGTTAAACTAAAAAATATAAGCGGTATTTAAACACATTTTCATTATACTATGAAATATTTTAACTTGTTTGTAACTTCAATCTTTATTATAAATTTATGCTAATATTAAACAAAAATATACTCATACAAAGAAGTATAGTAAATACAAATATAATATTTAACAAATTTAAAAAAAAATTTTTATACTAAACTAAATAGTTTACAATTAAGGAAAATGAAAAATCTTTCTCTTATTTACACTTTATTTATGCTTGTGTGTGGAATGTTATTTATAACTGATGTCGAAGACAATTAATGTCCACATGGTTTAATATATTATAAGCGGATACAGATTTGGAAACCAAAAATCCTTTTTAAGCCCCCTTTTTTCTGTTTCTTTTTTTTAATTTAAAAAAAAAAAGTTTTTCTGAGAGTTTTTTCTTCTCTTTCTTTTGATCTTTTGAGAGAGACCTTTATGAGAAAGAACCTTTTAAAAATATATATACATTTTATTGGGTTTGCATTCTCATTAAAATATTTTATCATCATTCTATTGCATCCAATAGAATGATAATAGAATGATTGCATCCAAAATACTACCTTTTCGCTGGTTCGATGCGAAGTTTTGCTTTTAAAAAGTTTTCTACAAATTGAGGAAATAATGCCATACAGTTTAAAGTTTTTTCGAACTATCTCAATAGCGCAATTGTAGCGTAAGCGCGATAGTCATTAGAAATAGATTGGCAATTTTTTTAATTTCTTCCTATTAAACACAAGACGTGTTTTAGACGTTTAAAATACGTATTGCATGAATATGTTTTCAAACAAGCCTTGTGCCCACTGGGTAGTTCGTTGCATATTGCACAGCATCAATCGCTTTTTACAAACAGTCTGTAAAAATTGAATCCAATATTTTGAATGCCTTGAGTTAAATACTTTTTTAAAAACCTGCCGTTATTCTTAATGATTTGAATTAAGCCCGTACCGTAAAGTTTTGCCGAAGAGGTTGTTTTTTAAAAATAAAGGCAGTTTTAATACCAAATAATAATCATGAATACCAATCAGAATACCAAAATAAATATCATGCTAAACTACCATTATAAAATTAACATTATTTAATTTTTTTAGTTCATGATTAAAAAAATAAAATGAACTGAAAAAAAAAAATTTTTATTTGCCAATAAGAAATAAATTTACAATCCTAATTTATAAAAAATAAAATTTATATGACTGGGACTAGAAGAAGACAAACTTTTATCAATAAGCCCTAAAAATATATAAATATATATTGTTTGAAAAATTGTTTATAATACTTTTCTCGCAAAGCTAATACAATTTTCTCCGATTTAAAGAAAAAAATAATTTTTATAGTTTTAATCAAGATTTCTTTGGTATGGATTTATTAACATAACTATTAATAAACTAAGTCTATCTGCAGCCATATTAGCTGCCATGGTCACTTGCTCTTAACCATATCTTAATCTTTATCTTCGCACCTTAAAATTCGACTGAAACTATTATTTACTCGCTGCAGATTATATAGGGAGCCCAGTATAAAACTTAACAGCATTGCAAATTGTTTTTCGGAATTGTATTTTGATTTTGGAAATGATTATGCAAAGAAAAAGTATAATCACGGCTATTAAGGCAATACGTATGTTGTAAGTAAACTATCGGTGGACCATACTCTGGAAAACAGGTCCGTTGATAGTTTATTTGCCTTAAATGTAGCTTATTGGTAGTTTGCACCAGTTTCCTTTCCAATATTTCTGAGTAAATGGTTAAATCATAGATTGTTTCTTGAATGCTACATAATGTCAGTTTTGCGTCCTTGTAAACTCTATGTGATATATCGTCAGCCAAGAACCAAGAGGCCGTATGTCCATTTTTTGTGTTTTCGAGAAAATCAAATTTGAAACTTTATTTTGAAAAGACTTACTGTCAGAATGTCCGACTAATTTTTTAAAAATTTTTAAAAGTTGTATCATTTTTGAGAATATATATATTGGACACATACTCCAATTATTGTTGATTATTTATTGATAATAAACAGAAAAAACACAAAATGTGGACATACAGCCTCTTGGTGCTCGGCTGACGATATGTTAACGGATGAAGTAAGCGATACAAAATTGTTATACTAACTGTGTATCACTTATATAATATAATAATACTTCATGAACGTAAAGTGCTGTCAGGTCAAATTATCCTGCTACTGGTAACATGTAGCCCAGTACAATCTGCCTTATGTCCTGCTGCCTTGTAAAATTTGCTTTTTTAGGCAAAGGCTAGGAGAAGCCAACTCCAACTTAAAACGCTCCTGCCTTGGGGCTCATGGTTGAGTAAAGGCTAGGGATGGTGTCTATGTTCGGCTACTGTCTTGTAAAAGGCCTCCTAGTCAAAGGCTTAAAAGGGTAAACAGAATTTAAATATTGCCTCTTCATCTATTAGGCTGGCGCAGACGCATTTTTAATATATTGAATCCAGTTTAGGATGTTAAATGCTGGAACTTCTTGACTCAATGCATGGGTTTTGCTTATTTCTGTGTTTAATGACTTGGCAACTCATTCTATTATCTTAATGAGAGAACAGTTCTAAAACTCAATTTTATGGTTCTGAGGCCGGGTGACAGTTAGATTTCCCGAACACTGTTGGAGCTCTCAGAAGGCTGATTCCATCAACTATTAAAAAATATAAAAGTATTAACAGTGACATGTTGCGCATGGATGGTGTCCCTGTTTGTACTTTTGGTGTGCATTGCTAAGGCCACTATCTATGCTTTGAGTCAAGTTCTTTAACAAATTAAAAAATCATAAAGTACCAAAACTATATAACTCAAAAAACCATCTTCATCAACAAAGTTCTCTAAACCTATCATTCACTAATACTCGTGGTCTTCAAAGTTACTTTTTTTATGTTGTGTCTTATCTCTTGCAAAGTTCACCATACCTACTTGTTCTTTGTGAGACTAATTTGAGTTCAGCTGTTTTATTTTGTGATCTTAGTGTTAATGGTTATCTTCCTTTAATTTGTAAAGACTCCAATAGTCACATGCTTGGCCTGAGCATTTACATTCGTAAGAATTCACCCTTTAGTCGGGAAACTAGGTTTGAATCCACAGAATATTCTTTTATGTGCTTTTGTTTAGCACCACTTCACTTTATCGTCTTTCTCTTTATTCTATATTACTCTCCTTTATCTCAAGACTGCACTCTTCTTGATATTATTTCTGATTATATTGACCAAGCCCTCATTCTTTATCCATCAGCCAATATTGTTGTTGTCGGTGACTTGAATGTTCATCACACTGAATGGCTTGGCTTTAGTGTCAGTGACTCCGCAGGCATTAAGGCCCACAACTTTTGCCTTTCTCAATCCCTAACTCAAATAGTCAACTTCCCATCTCGCTTCTCAGACAACCCAAATCATTTACCTTCTCTACTCAACTTATGTCTTGTTTCTGATCCTAGTCAGTGCTCAGTTTCTCCACATTCACCTTTAAGTGTTTCTGATCACGGTTTGATTTCTCTAAAACTATTATCTCATTCTTCTTCATCATCTGAATCCCCTTATCATTGTACCTCTTACAACTACTATAAAGCTTATTAGGACTCTTTCCTTTCTTTGTGATGGCCCTTGGGTAGAAACTTTTCGTCTTCCTGCTGACAAATGTGCTTCTTACATAACTTCGTGGATTCAGGCTGGCATGGAATCCTTTATTCCCTCTCAACGATTACAGGTCAAGCCTAACTCCTCTCCGTGGTTTTCTTCACATTGTGCTGCTGCAATTTCCAATCAAAACCGTTACTTCCATATCTATCAGCAAAACAATTCTCCAGAAAACAGACGCCTGTTTATTACTGCTGGAAAACATTGTAAAAAGGTTTTGTCTAACGCCATAGCCCGCTGTTCTCAGGTCATGAAATCTCGTATTTCATCACAAAAATTAGGTTCTCGTGACTTCTAGAGAATCTATAATAGTATCAATAATAAGAGCAAATCTGTAATTTCACCTCTTTTGTATGGTTCAGACTTTGTCACCTCACTTAAACACAAAGCTGAGTTGTTTGCTAAGAACTTTTCATTAATGTCACCTCTTGATTCCACTAGTTGTGTTCAACCTGATATCGCTGTCAAATAGGTTGATCCATTGCTTGACATTCGTCACTCCATCTTCTGTATCTAAAGTGATTTCCTGTTTAGACTCTTCTACAGCTTGTGGCCCGGACAACATACATACTGTTTTAGTCTTACAGAATAGTTCTCCGGAGCTGCCGTCTATACTTTCAAAACTATTCAACAAGTGCTTATCAGAGTCTTATTTTCCAGCCTGCTGGAAAGCGGCATCTGTTATCCCTATTTTCAAAAATTCTGGATAGCAATCTCATTTATCTAACTACCGTTCCATAAGTCTTCTTTCTATCATATAACAAACACTGAATCTCTCATCTTGAGTCTAATAACTTACTTTCTGATCATCAATATGGATTTCGATTTTCTCAGTTGATTTGCTAACAGTAATAACCGATAGGTTTTATCGTGCATTAGATAAAGGTGGAGAGGTTAAGGCCATTGCTCTTGATATTTCTAAAGCTTTTGATAAAGTTTGTCACGCTGGTTTTCTCCATAAGCTTTCTTCTTACGGTGTTTTTGGTTACATCTTTAAGATTATATAATCCTTCCTTTCCAATCGTAGTATAAAAGTTGTTCTCGATGGACAGCACTCTTCTTCTTATTCTGTAACTTCAGGGGTTCCTCAAGGTTCAATCCTTGGCTTTTTAATTTTTTTTTTTTTTTTTTTTTTTGTATGTATTTAGGTGCTCCCAGATGTCCTTACGGTCTTATCATAGAGCACCGCGGGTGAGCATTTAACATGAAGTTCACGCCTCCTTCCGTACCAATGTCGCTTGTTGGGCTAGAACTGGCATCGAAACTCGGACCTCTGGGTTCTGAGCCAGAACTCTAACCACTGCGCCACGGCTGCTCATGTTAATTTACATTAACAATCTTTCAAATATTCTCACATTTAAGGTGGCATTGTTTGCTGATGATACTACCATTTATTCTTGTCATGATAAGAAGCCAACATTCTCTAATTACTTGGAGGGGGTATTTGAGCTTGAAAAGGATCTCATTTTTGCTACAGCATGGGACTCACTGTGGCTTATGAACTTTAATTCAGATAAAACGCAATTTATTTCAGCCAATCGTTTTTGCAATAATTTAGATCTTTTTATATTTATGAACGTAATGTACTTGATGAGTCATCCCCCCTTCATCTTCTAGGATCAACTCTTACTTCCGATCTTTCTTGAAAACCGCATATGAAATCCGTTGCAAAATTAGCATCTGCTAAGGTTGCATCTCTTTATTGAGCTCGACACTTTCTTACTTTGGATTCTATTCTCTATATCTATAAACCTTAAATACGGCTTTGTTTGAAATACTGTTATCATATCTGGGGCGGATCTTCTAATGATGCTCTTTCTCTTTTAAACAAGTTGCAAAATCATTGTAAACATAGTTGGACAGGCTCTTGCAGCCATCCTCTAACTATTATCACATCGTCGTAATGTTGCTTCTTTTTCTCTTTTCTACAAATACTATAATGGACAACATACATACTGTTTTAGTCTTACAGCTAAAAAGCTAGCGTCTCTTGTGCCATCTTATTAATTAAGTCT